CCCACCCCTTACTAGACATTCATCCCTAATTGTGAGCTTCTTCTTATTGAATCCCGTCTCTCATCCAATACCCCTCATTGGCCCTCTAGGATCGAGGTAGCTGCCTTCCTTGGAGACAGCCTGCTGGGCCCACTGTGCCTCTGCAATCTGCACTGGAAGCCAGGTTAGTTTCTCAGTGTTTGTCTCATCTCAGGAAGCAGGTGTTATGATGAGGTTTGCCAGGTTATACAAAGATTAAATGTTGTGGGGCTTCTAACCCAGATCCTCGTGTGGATTTGAGAGGTTTTTCAATAGCAATAACTATGTTAGTTATTGACTACCACATAATAGCTACGGTATCAACTTGGCTAAGCTGGAACAATGTTTTCCAGGATTCTCTTCCCTATATGGTTCTGGGTTACAATTGGCTAAAAAAGAGAGATTTGTGCAAAATTTGGAAGGCAGAAAGGAAGCAGCAGCTGTGACTTTGAAGATCACTGCAGTTAGAGGTGGTGAGAGACAGATGTGGAGGCGCCAGTGGTTAATTTATCCTCTCTCTTTCCTACTGCAAGTCAGCTCTTTTTACTGTCAGCTTTACTGACCAACAGCAACTCCCAGCTCATCATCAAATGCTTGGCTGTGAACTCAGAGTTTAATAGCAACACAGAAGCAAGACCTTCCCAGAGTTCTGCACCAGCTGCCTCCATGGTTCGTTCCTACTCCAGCAGTGGGATGTGCCTAACTTTGATATCCCTGCAAGCTCAAATTTGTTTACCAGAACCAGGGTATGGAGAAGACTGGTTAGTGACTTTTCTCCCCTTATTTTAGCAGTGACCAGTTTTCTTTTGAATAATGCTAACATGCTTTCCTAGAATTTGATTAATATTCATTCAGTATTCTATTGGTTTTTTTTTCTGGGTTCTAGGGTTCTCCTGTAAATCCACAGAGAAAGATAGAGATTCTGCTGTTCCTTCCCCTATTTTAAGCATTTTGTGAGCTAGGGCTAGTATTTTTCACTGTGATTTCTTTTTCATATGTCCTTTGTTTTAAACCCCTAACAAGGAAAAATTTGTAAATGGTTTTCCAGCCAAATATGTAATCATGAGCAATTTGCTTTGTAGGAAGTAGGGAATGGCAGGCATCTCAAATGGAGTTAAAGAAATTCTAATTACTTACACCTGCGGAAGCTGTCACTTTTCTAAGATGTGTAATTAGCAGCCAGAGCGCGTGTTGGAAAAGTGTGATTGCCTGTTTAAATAGGGGGCACAGCCCAGAGGCTGCCCAAATTGGGGCTCTCCCACTGTGTTCATTAGCCCAGCCTGGGATCTCCGGTCACTTGTTAAGGCTGATTGCATGACTGAACACAAAGTGTGTGGCCAACTGAGCCCACACACTGTTCCATGTGCAAAGCAGGTGTGACCATTTTAAAAAATTGAATCCTTCTTACTTTGCAATTATAAATTTTCTGCTTTCCTAGCTCAGTGGTTCTGAGCTTTGGCTGAACATTAGAATCAACAGGGAGAGTCTTTTAAAAATCCTGATGCTCTAGCTGCACCCAGATCAATTAAATCAGACTCTCTCTGGGAGACCAATAGTTTTAAAGCTCCTCAGGTGCTGCCAAGTTTGAAAACCAGTTCTAGACCACTTTAGCTGCATCAGAATCATCTGGAGGGCATGTTAAAACCCATCCCCAGAGATATTCAGTAAGGTGTGGGCATGTCCAATATTTCGAACTTCTCATATTCATTCAATGCTCAAAACAACGTTGAATTTCTTTTTAATTAGAATAATCTTTTTCTGCACATATGACAGGCATTGTGCTTAATGTGTTATAGTCATTCACTTGTTTAATCATTTTCATAGGCTTCCATTCTCACCCTTTAGGTCTCGGAAAAAGTGCCGGACCTGAGACAACCTCTGTTTATTTACCCTTTACAAAGGCACCTGCTGCAGCTATCACATCACCTGGTTTGTTTCCTTCTGGGCCCAAACCAGTCTGTAATCTTATTTCCTCTGTTCCAGTTGCACGCAAGCTCCATAATGACAGAAACCCTGTTTGTCCTCACCTAGTGCCCAGAAGGTAACAGGCACTCCACACTTGCTGAATGAATGGATCCACAGAGCAAACATAAACCTAGGAAAGAGGTACTAGCATGGTATTTCCCAGAGTAAGATCTGGCGCTACAAAAAGATTAAGGAACTTGTCCAAGATTTTAGTGGAGGAATTGAGACTCAAACTGACCAGGGCTAGGCTTTCAAACCACTGCAGGAATTGATCATGAGCGTTAAATAAAAGATGTCTTCTTTCCCAGCAATAAACTGAATTACTCACCTAAGAATGTCAACTATCTTTTCCTTAATGCTACTTGATTCAAAGATATATATATATTTCAAATAACAATAAAAATCCAGATCCCAAATGCATATGGCCAGACTATAGAAACACTGGCCATTTCTTTCCTTTTTTTAAAAAAACTCTTCTGTTAATATCCCAAACCTATTTACAATGCCCCAAAGCAGGTTAGAGATTTCTATGTCATATACGATTACACCAAATTTCTTAAATATAAAATGTTGGTATGTCAAGGAAGAAAAAAACACGTGAAAACAAATGGATCTGAATGATCTGACTTTATTTAGCCTGCCAATACAATTATTTTGGTAATAAATTAATATTTACAGTTACAAAAATGTCGAGTGCTAGGAAAATGCTTCTAAATGTGGAAAGGACATGTAGAATGCTTTAAACAGTTGACTATAATTTTCAAACTCCGAAGTGTAATAATATTGTTATTGAAGAATGGAGTCTCTGTAATTCGTGATTTAGAGTTTATAAAGGTTTCAATTGCCACTTCAGCTCCTGCAAGCTACAACGCCTGAAATTATGGAACTGACATTTTAGAAATTACCTGATCCAGTCTTATAAGTATACAGATGAAGAATCCACTGGCCTTGCCAAAGATCATAAAGCTAGTAAGAGACAGAGGCTGGATTATAAATGTTCTCTGAGGTGCTCCAAAAATATCTGCTGAGCTAAATAAGGCACATATATCACACAGAACTCTAGCTGAATATCTGAAAAGACCCTGCCTGGTTTTACTTTCTGCCTAACAGAAATTTAAATTTAAATCCTGATGTGTTCTTTTGTAGTTAACAAATTTAGTGATTCAGTTGCTTTGGAAACAAAATCGTTTCCATGATTGCAGCTTATCGCTGATCACTGATTGCTGTTTATGCTTCTTTTCTGCTGGGATGTTTGGACTAGGGCAATTTGTCTTCCTGTTCTTCTGTGCTCATTGACCTATATCAAGGGTATCTGTTCTTGTTTGAAATTCATCACCAGCTGAAGGAGCTAATGTCATCAATACCTATAAACCATCAACATTTGTGTATGGGACAGTTTGTTCCTCTTTGCAGCTCGTTCCCACAGGGTCAGCACCTGCTCCGTTCATCAGAGCCATCACTGGTTCCAAAGCAACTGTGGATTACTTCTGGGATGTCAGTGTCCCGAACAATGAGATTTCTCATCACATCAAGAATATGCCATATAATGCTTCATATCATGTACCAAGCACTTCTAGCACACATTTTTTTAAAATGATATATTTCTAAACCTAATGGCTGCACATAGCCATGCTGCTAGCAGGTAAAAAAAAAGGCACTCATTTTAATTTAAACCTCGATGAGTGTGTGCAGCACATTTATCAATCAGTAATAGAATGTTCACATTCTGGCAAGCTATTTTTCTTTCTAATTATAGGAGCCATTCCCAAAATAAACTGCCAGACATGTTTTATTTTTAAACTTTATATACACACAGCAAAATTATAAAGTGAATCTCTGAATTTCCATGTAAGTGATTCTAATTTCTTGCTACTCTCAGCACTGCAGCAAAGGAAGACTGGTGGCCTATATTTATATATTTTTCTCCAGGGCAATATTTCTCTGTAAGAGCAAATGTTTGGTTTGGTTGCAACTTACAGAGGATTATCAGATGTGCTCTCAGGGCCATACTTATTTAGAACGGGCATCTCATTTTCAAGTTCATCCTCAGAAAATACAAGAGTTTTGCCTTTTAGGAGTAGTGACTTGATTTTGCGATAATGCTAAAAGCACTACCACCAGCCATGAAGACTTGACATTACCCTTGATCTAGAATGCAATTTCATTAGCTATATCTAAAAATTAACAGACAAACAAGAACTCAAGACACAGAAACATTTGCTCTGATCTGGCAATAACATTCAAGTATTTAATTTACTACTTTGGCATGTTTTTCACTTATCATTCTGTTACCAATTTCGCTTCCTTTGGCTGTTTTTTTTTTTTTTTTTTAATCCTGTCCTGATTTTCAAGAAGCATGCAGAATATCAATAGAGAAATGCCACGCTCTTTGACCATTTCACTTTTTGACTTTTCTTTCTCACTAATTTTTGGCTCTGGAAAAATTGTGAGCTCAGTATATTTCCTAATACCATGACCAGAACACAAAGCATGAACTACAACGGAAAAGGCATGCTTAACAACGGGAACATTCTAATAATGGCAAGACTGAGAAGACTGGATTGGAGTGGGAACTAATATTCTTAAGTTCAGAACAGCAAAGCTGATGTCAAATTTCAAAAAGGACTAACTTTAATAATCTTAATAACCAATTCGAAAATAAAAATCTCTTTTTTATTAAGGAATCCTAATGACTTTGAGGTAGATGATGTTGCTATCGGATAATAATTAGTTATAAGATATAAAAATAAAACTAACGGAAAGAAAGCACTGATTTGAAATTGTCTTCCTTTAAATTCAGATGGAAAATTAAGAACACTTTTTCCAATTCAAAGTTCTAAGCACAAAATCCAAGTATGTCACGTCATAGACTTGCTCCTTTAATTGGAGATGAACTTGGCAGCCGATGGAAAGAATCCATCCTCTAATGCAACAGCAAACTACAAAACGGTTGTCCTCATGAAGAAGCCAGTAACTCGGCA